TATTTTATTCAGTTTCCTTTCAATTATCATAATTTTTTATGGTTTTAGTTAACATTAACAACTCTGCAGCTTAGAAAATGAATTAAGAACACAAGTTATAGGCTATGATGTTTAAGATTAAAGTTTAGAGGTTTGTTTCATTTACTCACCCGAGACCCACAGCAAGGATGTGCGAAAGGACAAGAGAGGGCAGGAAAGCTTTGAGGAATTCTGCTGAGAAGATTCCTCCCTTCTTCATCACACTGGTGTTCCTCATGCTGAGGGTGCTGGAACGCTTCGGGTGCCTCAGCACAAACATCCTACAAACCCATCATTTACCGTGTCATCTGCTTGAACTCGTTAAGATGCTTTTCATGCCAAGATGGTTTATTAACAGCATTTAACTGTATGTTTTCTAAGGTTTTAGGTACTTGGGCGGCAGGTTTTCCGGTCGACTCGACCAGTCCCAGATCCAGTCTGCATTTTTCTTCATCAGGATCTCCACCTCTCTTCTCCTCTCCAAATAGTCTTCCTCTGACTTAAACCAGACCACAGCAAAATTAGGATGGCTAACAGATGACTCATGTTTCTAGTTGTTGATTTCATTGGCCATCTTGTAAAGTCAGATCATTACAGTGATCTTAAAGGTGGGGTAAGCGATTTCTGGTAACCAATTTTGACATTTGAAATCACCAAAACAAACACGCCCCTACCCCAAAAGGGTCTCGCCCATATTTGGATAGCTCCGCCCCACACATACGTACGCAACCCAGGCAACGATTAGTTCTGTGAAACAAAGCAAAACCAATGTTGCACCGTGTCTACACTGGACGCGAGTGACACGGTGTGACAAAATACTATAGAACTCATTATAATCAGTGATGCTGTCTACACCATAGATATATATACTGTACATATCTATGGTCTACACTGGATGCGGCGCGGCACGACACGACAAATCCCCGACAGAAAACTGCTGCTGCGTTCTATTTATGACGTATTGACACAAATTTCAAATGATTTTCAACGTTCGCTTTCTCGCGTCCAGTGTACTAGACCGACTTTAGCTGTTGCGGCACAGAAACGCTGTTATCGAGAAGAAACAAAGCAACCTCGGCGTCCAATCGCTTGAGTTCTTTAGAGATATTTACACGGGTCCTACTTCTTGCCTTATTGCCTTCTTTTGTTCCGCAGACGTTTTCTCTTTAGTTTTTTATCCGCAATCTCTATCTTTCTGTCCGTCCTGTGCTGTGCAGTGCACTGAACGCTCTCTCCTCCACATCATGAGTAGACACGCCCCTTACTGCTGATTGGCTACAAGTTTGCTTTGCTACTCGGCCTGAATCAGTTTTCTAAAGCGTTTTTGAAAAATCACTTACCCCACCTTTAAGTGATCCCACACCCTTTGGCCTATAAATATCCATGACTTTTAATTGACTTTTATTGGAATAATTTTATAGAAGTTTTGGTCCCACCTTCTTTTGGGTGTCTTTAACTACAATGTACTTGCGTTAAAAAAACGTTGTTGAGTACAGTGCACTTACTGTGTTCATGTTGTATTGCAAAACACTTTTGCTACTATTGAGGAGGAATAAGGTTGTGGTTAAGGTAAGGTAGGTTTAAGGGTGGGTCAACAGTATTATTATATTATTACATGATTATATTTTAATGTTAGCACAATGTAAAAACATGTATGGACACAGTAAGTGCATTGTATCAAAACATTTAAATGTTAGTACTAAGATGTTAAAGACATCAATTAATAATACATTAAAGTGGGTCCAAACTCTAGCTGATTAAATATTTTAGATCCATAAAAAAAATTCATATTTCAAATTACTTTGTTTTTATTGTATTCATTCACTTGATTTTTAGGTCAGGAAACCACTATTTAAAATTTCTATTATCTCTATTTCTACTATCTCTAGTTCTAAATTTCTCATTTTTCTTGAGCATGGGAACACTGAATATTACTTTATAAGGAACTGATCTAGTTGCATGAAAGCAGTGGTACACCTGCACTAGTACAATTTAATTGAATCATGACGAGGTTAAAAGTGCTGCTAATATCTACCTGTGAGCTGTTCTTTTCTCCAGAGCTGTGGACCTCGGAGCCCCTGCGCAAGTGCGAAGGAGTCTGAGATCTCGGAGGACTGGAGAGAAAATTGATGCAAGTTTTATTATAACATGCTCATCCTATAAAATGTAACATCTTGTGTGCATCTCAGTGCAGTTCATGCACTAAATTCAAATGTGGTCCTGCTGACCTCTCACATGGCAGGCTTCCTCTTGAGCTGCTCTTGCCTGACTCGTGCTGAGCATCCAGCAGCATCTTCTCCAGGTCTCCGCTTGGGGCAGTGCTAGCAGACTGTTCCTCCGAACCTCCTTTAGGAGTGCTGCCTCCTCCGTTATTAAAATGCAGCTCCACCCAGGAACCTGCAGCAAAAGCCAGATAACGTCTTTGGGTCTTTAGTGTTGCATGAAAGTTTTTATTTTATTTTTTTCAAAAGCTGAATTTCATAATTATGACTTTGCTATGGCAGCAGCATTGCTATTTGTTTTATTTATATATTTAAATATGCAAAAAAAACTGCTCAATGTATTGCAAGCATCACATGTCTTAACCTGTTATGAATATGTTATCGAATGACATTGAAAACTGAGCTGGGCATGAATCAGTGATCATGACACTGCGACCAGATAAACAGAGAACATGCCAGGACTCGAGACTCAACCCAGCAGCCAGAGGAAAATAAACACAGCTCTGACTATAAATAGCTCATGATGGCAAGAAGGTTATTTATTTATTTATGTATTTGCTTCGCTCAGCATCCAATGAAATCAGGCTGTGTGTAAACCCCACCTTTCTCGAGTGATGCGGACTCCTTTCTGCGAATCGGTTCTTTCAGACGGTTCGTTTCAAAGAACCGGTTAAAATGGTTTAGTGATTCTTTGCGTCACTGCGTGGTGTCTTACTTCCAAATGAATTAATTTTTTCTTTTTCATTTTTGTTTACGTAATATTAAAAAGGGTGTTTGCGTTTACAAAAATCAGTACTAAAACTACTTCGTGTACCGCCACAATTCGTTAACATTTTCATTACGTTTGCATTTCTGTTGTTTGGCAAAATACTGCCAAATCAAATCCTTATCTATTCTAGGGTTATGCATTTAAAAAGCGCTACTAATCTGTATATGCACTGTAAGTCGCTTTGGATAAAAGCGTCTGCTAAATGTAAATGTAGTCAGAATCGGTTGTTAATTCGGCTCCTTAAGATTCGGACATGTTCAAAAGAGACGGTTCTGAATCGGATACGTTCGAAAGATTCGGTTCTCCGTTCACTGAGTCGGCAAGTTGCCGAATCGAGAACGGTTCAGTTCGATTCCTAAACGAATCATTCAAGAGATCCGGCTCTAAAGCATGATTGCGTCATTACTGTGCTTTTCTGCCCACACCTGTTTCTTCTTACCATATATTATGCCGTTATATATTAACAAGCCTTGTACAATTATTTAATTTTATGTGAAACCGGAATTTGATGAATGATCGTCATCTAATTTCGTACTGTTGTATCCTAAAAAAAAAAAAAAAAATACATTGTGGTATGATGAATGTGGTTTTGAGTAGAAGCGTGCATAAAAGAACATTAACTCGAGCTGTTTTAATAGCTACATACCCTGAAGGTTTTCCTCGGACACGCTTTGTTTTTCAATCGACATTCCAGCTTCTTTCACCGACAAAACCACCCGCAGAGGATGATTCAGTCCGTCTAAATCCTTAAACAAGAGTCGACACGACACAGAAACGCAGTGTTATCCAGAGGCATGGGTCGCTCCACGCGCCAAACCTAGTGTTATATGTATTCTGCACGTCCTGTAAAGTAAACAGCATATGGATGCATGTGACAGAAGTGGATCGGGATCTTTATTCCATGAATCCTCACAGCTGCGGTGACGCAACATGCGGCTGTGCTATGGATGGAAATACAGGGCAAACAGAATAACAACAATACTGGCACAAGAGACGCCAGATTGTCTGAATCTTCCTCTAGGTTAGTGACCCAACGTCGGTAACGCCAAGGTTCACCGTAGGTTTATTTATTTATTGTTAATACTGTTGCATTCCAAAACACTATATATATATATGTATATATACACAGTGGTGTGAAAAAGTGTTGGCCCCCTTCATGATTTCTTATTTTTTTGCATGTTTGTCACACTTTGTTTCAGATAATTAAACAGTTTGTTTGTTTATTTATTTTTATTTGAAGGGCTCTTAAAAGTGTAAAATGCACAGGAATGTTCAATATACTAACATATATCTCTTTCCAGGTATTACAGACCTTCTTGGATTATTTATAGCACTGCTTGCTGCTGTATTGAGACTGCTACGTCGTCATAAAAATTGCAGGTGGGAGCTATGTTTGGAAATCTTATTTGAAAACAGCATTTTTGCAATTCTGTTTGAAGCACTGCACCTTTAACATCAGTCATGTTATATTTTGTTCTCCCGTCTTAGCTCTCCGTCGCCATCTGTAGGGCTGGAGGATAAATCATGCACTACACTAGGATGATGATGTTGTTCTGCAGTATTATTGAAATCATGCTCAATGATGCAGTTTCTAGCAGCAACCATATGGAAGGAACAGCATGCTATGTGAATCCTGAACCACTTCCAAAATAAACAAGAGCTATGTAACGAGTAGAGTACATGTATGCAGTTGGTTGTTATTTAATGCATAGACAGGATGATGACGTGATGCTGTGGGACTGAGATGCAGTTGCAGTGCATTGACCAGCGGGCGGCCACAATAGCTGTCTTTTCCTCTGTCTCTCCCACAAGGCAACCCAGGATAGAAGCCAGGCTTCACGCATCCCGCAGAACTGCCAGATCCTAGTGTGTATGCATGTGCACCTGCCTGCGCATATGTGTGCGCATGCCACCCTCCCCTCCTCCTTTCTCCCGGCATCATCCCTCGCTCTCCATCAGGGATGGTGAGGGAGTGTTTATGGTAAGTGTGAAGAATCAAATCTCTCTTGCTTCAAAATCTCTCGTCTTACATGCAATAGCTCCCTGCCGCTCCTCCTTTTTTTATGTTATTCCCTCCTGGTGATCTGTATTGCTGAGGATCCAACTGTCTGCGCAGACCACAAGCAGCTCAGTTCTAAAGGGATTCAAGCATCTTCTGCATGGAATTCAGGGCATGACAACATGCATCCCTTGTCGTTTCAGTGCATGTGCTGCAAATCACACGGAATGATGGAGGACCAACAGCTCCCTGGATAAACCCTGCAGACCAAAACAACATCACAACTCAAATCATGCACTTAAGGTGAGTCTCAATCTTTATGCATTGAATTCACTTCTAGCAGGGTGACATCAAGCGTGCGATTACCATATAACGATCCTGTTATCGGCCTGCTGGGATGTTTGTCAGAACTGTCAATGCGAGCCGGTGCAGAAGGGGAGATGTTGATCAAATGATGCTTGTAGCAGCTACAGCCTCGCTTGCGCAGGTTGGAATAACATCCACAGGCTGGTGTCTGCCCACTGGGACATTTGTTGAAATGTTCTCGGAGGGCCATCTGTGATGCGAAGAGGCTCGTTCTGCGTGACATCTATTTTCCTCAAAAGCCTGGCAGAGAAGCACAGCACAGGTTGCATAGGTTGTATTTATGATGCAAGCGAAGGATGATGAAATGTGCATCTTTTTTTGAGAATGCCGTCGTCCGCCTAAGGCAGTGATCCTCAAATCTGACTCGCGAGATCCACTTTCCTGCAGAGTTTAGCTCTAACCCTAATCAAACACACCTGAGTTTGCTAATCAATGTCTCCAGGATCATTAGAAAATCACAGGTAGGTTTGTTTGATTAGGGTTGGAGCTAAACTCTGCAGGAAAGTGGATCTCGCGAGCCAGATTTGAGGATCACTGGCCTCATTGACTTCAGATGGGAGTGTTTGGAAGTTTTGACATGGCAACAAAATATGAATGTACATAGGCACAGATTTATGTTTAAAGCATTGTTTGTGATGCGGATAATTGAAAGAAGGCATAGATATTGACTAGATGTCACTTTCAAAACAAGTTTGTCTACAAACAGGTTGCATGAAATCGATGCAGTTATAATAACATGAGAAATGTGGATGTTATTTTAGCCTCTACAGTAGGTTGTTTTATATAATTGGAGAGGATGCAAATGATAGTAGCATATTTTTTTAAATAGACAAATTAATGATGATGAATATGCTTGCTTAATCTACGCTTATAATTTTGTGCTAGATCAGGAGCCTGTATACATGCTAAATATCCCATAATGTTTAAGATTTCGTGTTATTTTTGTGTCATTTATGTACTATTATAATTTTTGTAAATATTTGAATTTGATTTAATTTTTATATTTTCTGTTTTCACTTCAATTTCTTGATTTTGTTATGTGTTTTTATTATTATTTAAATGCAGTTTTTAATACATTTTAATTAATTGAAATAAAAATAAAAATTGTTGCCATGGCAACTATCTGAAATAAAATTAGTTTTATGTACTATTATAATTTTTGTAAATATTTGAATTTGATTTAATTTTTATATTTTCTGTTTTCACTTCAATTTCTTGATTTTGTTATGTGTTTTTATGTGTTTTTATTATTATTTAAATGCAGTTTTTAATACATTTTAATTAATTGAAATAAAAATAAAAATTGTTGCCATGGCAACTATCTGAAATAAAATTAGTGTTTTTTTATTTATTTTTTATTTTATTTCAAGAAACAGAAAATGTTTTTAGTTAACTAACCCTGTTAAGAGCAGCTAGACATTTTTATAGTTCTTTTTAGAGCATATTGCATAAAGTCTGCTGAGTCACTCTAATTCAGTCAGATTAGACGCTTCAAGTAATCTCACATCCAGAACCTTAAAGAAACAGTTCTCTCAAAAAAATATTATTAGCTTATTAAGGGATCCGGCTGAGGCAGACAGTAATTGAGCTGTACCTCAGAGCTGTCAGTATAGCTGCTGTATGTATGAAAAATGCAGTTATCTTACCCAATGATCCACATAATGCGTTCAGTTCAGCTGGGCAAAGCTGAAGGGTGTCTTTCATCACTTCTAAGTGAGATTATGTTAAAGAATGAGGTTAGAGATGCCTACTTCAGTACAGGATTGCTGTCAGTGTCTATCATACTTTGACAAGTACTACAGAATATTGATGGAAATAAATTGTGTAAACAATTTACACACTTTTTACTCAAAATCATAATAAATATATTGTTTATAAATATATAATTAATTGTTCAGTTAAAAGGCTATAAGTACATTTTGAAACTGGTTATTTAATTTAGATTTAAAAATGGCCAAATATTACCTGAATAATTAATCTGTGTTGATTATGCCATTATGTTGTCTATAACTAGTTCTAATGCTTAATTTAAGCACAATTTGATACTTGTTCAGGATACTTATCTATTAGACTGTATTATTTTTAGTAATGTAACATAGTACAGTTTTTAGCATTAAGTAAGCTAAAATATTATGGTGCTAATTTGAAAAACTACTGATAATTTTCTGTTGAACTGTCAAATGTCAATTAAGTGATGCAGACATTCTATCCACTGCGCTGCTATAATAGGACTACAGTGGAGCCACAAAGTACAAAAGTACAAGAACGACACCGAAGCTCCTCAAGGAAGCCAAGAGCATCCTGGGAAATTGGTGGATTTGATGGAGACACTTGCAAAGTGCATCTCTAATTACACGCTCAATACAAATATGATAAACTGAGTGCTTTCAAAGCAAATGAATTCATTTAATGCTCACATTCTGTATATGTAATTGTACTTTTGTAATTGTAAAAGTTGTTTAAACTTACAGTAGATGCTTTTCCTTCGATCTAAGGAGGTTAGAGATGTTTTCTGCCCTATTTTGTCCTTTTCCGATTATCTGTCATCTACTAGTCAGTTGGCATGCTGCTAGATTCCTCTTGTCTCCAGTGGAGCAGAGAAAAACAATTTCTCTTTCCAGAATCAAGACTGCTAAAACAGCAAGCATATCTTTTTAATAGAAAGCTCTTTTTATTGCTCCGAGTTTGCTAGATCATAGCTCAATAGACTACATCAACTTTGTCTCAGATGTTTCTCCATGGAGGAAGTAAAAGGCAACACTGCCTCGATTGTTGACTATACAGTAAGAGTAGCCAGGAGCTCAGATCATTTGGTGTAGTTTGATTAGAAATGTTTGAATGCACATTGAGATCTTTTGATTTTTGATTTCGATCTTGACCAATTTGAGCATGGTTTGAGACATTGCGCTCTCTTCTGATACTATAGAGTAGATGAGAGATTACTGGGGCCTTTTTCTCAGGAGAAAAAATGAGAAGCAGGAGACTTTGGCTCCATTTGCTCTTCACTTAATCTCATTTCTGTCAATTGAGATGTGATTTCAGATCATTTATTGATAAAACTGGAGACAGGTAGTCTCAGAAAATTACAAAAGAGTAAGACGCCAGGTACTCAAATGGAGTTAAACACTTGAAAAAAGACAATTCCAATTAATACGTTATCTGATGTTTATAGAAGAGATAAAACTCACTATTATAATGAGGGACTTTTATCATTAATTAACCAATGATCATTTAAATGAAGGAATTAACTAATCAGTGCTGTCCAACAGAGATTAGTATGGAAGCCTGTTACCACCACTGAATAAAAAAAAAAAGGTTATTGCGACTTTTTATCTCACAATTCTGACTTTCACAAAATTGTGAGACTTTTTTTTTTCTTGCAATTGTGAGTTTATTTAGAATTGCGAGATATAAACTTTATAACACGCAATTGTGAGTTAAATCAGAATTCCGAGAAATAAAGTCAGAATTGCGAGATATAAACTCACAACTGCGAGAAAAAATGTCAGAATTTCAAGAGAGAAAAAGGCAGAATTGTGAGAAAAAAGTCAGAATTGCGAGTTTTGTTCTCACAATTGTGACTTTATCTCGTAATTCTGACTTTATAACTCGCAATTGTGAGTTTATATCACGCAATTGTGAGTTTATATCTCACAATTTTGTGAAAGTCAGAATTGTGAGATAAAAAAAAGTCAGAATTGCGAGATATAAACTCGCATTTGCGAGAAAAAAAGTCAGAATTGCGAGGAAAAAAAAAGTCAGAATTGCGAGATATAAACTCGCAATTTTGTGAAAGTCAGAATTGTGAGATAAAAAGGCAGAATTGCGAGAAAAAAGGCAGAATTGCGAGTTTTGTTCTCACAATTGTGACTTTATCTCGCAATTCTGACTTTATAACTCGCAATTGTGAGTTTATATCACGCAATTGTGAGTTTATATCTTTATATCTTATATCTCTCTCTAAACTCGCAATTGCGAGAAAAAAGTCAGAATTGCGAGGAAAAAAAAGTCAGAATTGCGAGAAAAAAAGTCAGAATTGCGAGAAAAAAGTCAGAATTGCGAGTTTTGTTCTCACAATTGTGACTTTATCTCGCAATTCTGACTTTATAACTCGCAATTGTGAGTTTACATCACGCTATTCTGAGAAAAAAAGTCAGAAATGTGAGGTTGTATCTCGCAATTCTGACTTTATATCTCGCAATTCTGACTTTGTATTTCACAATTGTGAGTTTATATCACGTTTATATCGTGTGTTCACGACAGTATCATGATGCGAGCGTGTGGCGGCGCCAGCGCCCAGATCTGGGTCAGCGCCGCCACATGCTCGCGTCATGATACTGTCATGAACATGCGTCCAAAGTGACACAGTAGAGACAAAAATGTGGAATAAAGTCGTTATTTTTGTTTTCTTTGCGCAAAAAAGTATTCTCGTAGCTTTGTAACTTTACAGTTGAACCACTGATGTCACACGGACTACTTTGTCGATCATCTCGGTACTTTTCTGGACCTTGAACGTGGTAGTTACCTTGCTGTCTATGGGAGGGTCAGAGAGCCCTCAGATTTCATCAAAAATATCTTAAATTGTGTTCCGAAGATGAACGAAGGTCTTACGGGTTTCGAACTAACCCTTTAAGGTGAACCTTATGTTTGTGAAACTGTTTTTGACTGGTCAGGATATGAAAGAGAAAGGTTTTACATTACAATTCAATTTCACATGGTAAGCAAGGCAATGAAGTTAAGAATATATTATGACCCGTTTGAGCGCCACAAAATGTTGCCACATCTTACTGCACCTCAGATAAGGGGGAACATCTCTAAAGTAGTAAATTAGCTCTATTGGTGGAAATAACTATAACACTGTTGAGACTAATACCACTATCTAGAGAGCAATGGCTACAGAAAAATATTTACACAATATTTGTTCAGAAAATATGTCATAAAAAAATTATAATGAGTGTATTCAAGGGATTTTTTTTCTCTTCATAAATTCTTTTTCATCTGGCAGAGAACAGACCCTCATTTAAAGTTCAGCTCATGAGTCTCTGTTTTCTGAGCTGTGAGCTTTTGACTTGATCAATAAATAGCACTAATACCGTTTTCTCTTTTAAAGTCAACATGAAACTCAGTTTGCAACCCATTTTTCTTCCATATTCCTACGCTTTTAACTATCTAAAAGTGATAGCGCTGCACACCAGAAGCAAGCCATGAAATCAGCTGCAGGTTCATTGCAAGGGCAGAGCAACCCATGACATTTGAATAAAATATATTCTTTATTATTATTATTTTGAATAATGTGCATGGATTAATTGTTCCAGGAATGTGCAAACAGTAAATTGATCTTTTTTGATTTTATGATGACTTTAAACTATAGGAAGATACACAGTTAGCGAGATTAGAATAGAATTAGAATAGAGTAGAATAGCTGTTTACTCACTAATATAAAGGTGTCATTTATTATTATTTTTTTGGATGAAAGTTATCATATCATAAAAGTTGTATTGTGTTGATTTTAAGCCTGATGACCTCAAATCCTGTATGCAATCAAATGTTTTGTGGCATTTAGTAAATTTTTGTTTAGTGCAGTGCTTAAAGATGACAAAATCAGTTTTTTAGTAGAATGGATAATTAAGTGTTTTTATTCTAGAAAATTTAAAAAAGAAAGAAATACTGCATGCGCGGTCCAAACTTCCTGTTTTAATTGGAAATTGGTCAGCAACAGAAAAGAATATTGCATGGGCTTTTTAATATGTGTTTCAAGCTAATTTGCTTTTAGTGAAACTATAATTGTTCTGCGTCTCGGTGAGCTTCATAAATACTCATTTCCTTGTGAACTGCAGGTGGGCGGAAAGATGTAGCTGAGGAACAAACGGAAACCAATCTTGACCGTTCACGAACTCAGGTCATCCCTGAAAGGGGCGTGGCCTGTGGAGTACCGCACAACATGTCCAAGAAACCCCCCAGTGGGCGGCCCAAAGGGGAACGGCCTGATGCCATGGCAGCACTGCAGGCAGCCAATGAGGAGCTGAGGGCCAAACTCACTGAAATCCAAATAGAACTTCAGCAAGAGAAAACCAAGGTTAGAATCTAGACTAATTGTTTGTGTACCGGAATACATGCGAAAGTGTTCTGACTCCATTTCAGATGTATTATTTTGTTTCTGTATTATAGTTTGACTACATTCAGTCTGGAAATAGCTTCTCAGTTGCAATATTGCTTTTAATGTTGACCTCATTTCCTTCTGTATATTTGAAAGATTTATTTTCTCTATAGATTTCAGTCTCTTTGTTGTCACATCATCTGCTTATGTCACTACGATTGTGAATAAAGACTCTCTTTCTCTCTCTCTCTCTCTCTCTCTCTCTCTCTCTCTCTCTATATATATATATACCTCTTATGTTTTATGGATTGAGCTCATTTTGTTTAAGTGGCTGCGTTGCTCCATCATGTGTGTTCTGTTAGCTGCTTTATGGCTTCATTAGCACTGGGAAACAGAGTTAAATGAGGGTGAAACAAACTATAGGCATTCTGTCAAAGCAGGTTCAATGTCAGGCTAGCTTGTGACTGACAGCAGGTCAGGGGGAAATGATTTAGCTTAGTCCGTTACATCTGTGTCTTTTTGATCTCAAGGGTGAAGTTGGTCTTTAAGAGGCATGAGAGTATCCAAACCATCCATTTCATGGCCTGATGATTGACAGATGGGTGTGAACCTCTGTTCACTGTCTTATGAACACCTCATTTGATTTGATCGAGGTTGAACACAACTCACTAATGTCTCAGTTGTTCTGTTTTGACATTGTACTGAAGACATTCTCGGAGATGAAATACTAATTTACTAGGTTAAACCTGTGATCTAAGGAATTTCCTACATGGAAAAGACACAATGTAATTCAGAATGCGATTAAAAATAGATTGTAAAACCATTTAAAGTCCAGTGGGGTTCACATCTTGGGAAAATTGTCTTTTGTCGTAGGCTTTTGAAACTTAGACTGAAAATGGCTACACTTTTTTAATGCCAGTTCAGCCTGTAATAGAGCAAATAAACAGCTTGTTCATGTACTCTTTCATTCTTTCTTGTCTCTTCCTTAAAGAAAAAAATCGGCAATCGGTATCAGAATCAGCCCATTTGCTTACAATTGGAATTGTCCATGAAAAATCATGATTGGTGCATCTGTAGTTTTTGTAGATAGCCTACTGGTTAGTTTCCTCAAACAGTCATAACTTTGACTGACTATTAACAGCAAGCCAAGAGCGAGTGAGTACACTGGTCCACTTAAACTGGTATACACACGCATGAACACACACAGTGTTAGTGTGTACCTGGTATTCCCTACGTTATGGGGTCCAAGTGTGTGTGCGCGCATGTGTATGTTTGATTGTGCATGAGTGTGTGTTTTGGACACATTAATGAGGAAAAAAAAATAACTTAAATGATTTTAGCAAATGGCTGCAATATAACAAAGAGTGAAAAATGTAAGGGGGTCTGAATACTTTCCGTACCCACTGTATATATGGACGTTTGGACCCAAAAATTCCAGAATTTTTTTTGTTTTGTTTTTACAAAAAATTTCTGTCAATTAAATACTTTTCTTTTGAAATTATTCATCAAATAATCCTGAAGAATGCTGCTTAATATCCACAAAACTATCAAGCACCATAGCTGATTTAAAAAAAAATTCTTGTGCAGCAAATCAGCATATTAGAATGATTTCTGAAGGATTGTGTGACACTGAAGCCCGGCGTAATGATGCTGAAAATTCAGCTTTGCATCACAGGAATAAATTACATTTGAAAATATATTCAAATAGAAAACAGTTATTTTAAATTGCAATAATATTTCACAATATTGCTGTCCTTGCTCTATTCTTAATCAAATAAATGCAGCTTTGGTGAGCATTAGAGACTTCTTTCAAAAACTTTAAAAAAATCTTACCAACCCCAAACCTTTGAATGTTAGTATAATTATTTTTAATTGAATTTCCTGCTTAAATTTCTGTTTTAATTTATATAGATGTGATACATTTGGTCACACCTCACACCCCTATCCTGCACATAGGTGTGTTTTTTCGTGTCCGCTCTTTGTATGTGTGTGTGTACATTCTGCAGTGGCTCTCAAGATCAATACACGCATCTCAGGGTGAAAACAAATGACAGTGAGGTTCTGCAGGCAAGGACACTAGAAAGTACCGATGGCCACCAACGAGCGTTCATGCTCAGAAAGGATTCTGTACTGTACATTTAAACATCACACAGGATATTAATGTACCAACCCTTCTGCTTGACCCTTTCACAATCGTTTAAAACAGTCTCAGGGGACACCATTATTACTCTAATTAATCATCATAATGTCGGCCACAGTTATAATAATGCTACCATTAAGAAAATGTCGGACTGTTTTTAATAAGTGCTATCAGACAATGTATAGCGGATAGAATGTTCAATTATCTCACAGTGAAAATGAGGTTCAATTATCTCACAGTGGTCACTGTGTGTGTGTGTGTGTGTGTGTGTGTGTGTGGGTGTGATGTGCTGGAGATTATTATATTAGCAAGCTTTGCATTATGTGTGTGTGTGTGTGTGTGTGTGTGTGTGTGTGTGTGTGTGTGTGTGTGTGTGTGTGTGTGTGGGTGTGTGTGTGTGGGTGTGATGTGTTGTCCTTGGTTATATTCAGGACTTCTATCTGATTCTCCTTGCTGATGCAGTACGATCTTTGATTTATATGCAAAGTGTAAATGATCTGGATTAATGTGTTTCCCTTTGCACATCCTTCAGCAGGTGAGAGAGTTTTATTTTAATATTCTGACCCTTGTACTGCAGAACTGGAAAAACACTCTTAACAGGCCAATTACTGCCAGTGCCGAAAGTCAAACACACTGCTGTACCTTGTTTTCTGTAAAATTGCTTTTCTGATTGCAGGAACATGAAATGCAATGTTCAGGAGCGATTCAGGCCATCGGTATTGTGGAGACGGGGAGAAAGAGAGACGGAATTGATTCATTATAATTTGTGATAAACAAAGAGTGTTTTGTGTTTCAGTGTTGAGCTCTGCGGGGAACTAAATTCAGCAGGCTAGATTTTGTTAAATAGCCAAAAGCGAATCTTGAACTCTGCCCTGCCTGTGAATGACTGATGTCTGTGAGAATCATGTTAGACTAACCTGGAGAGAACAGCACACGGTTATGACTGTTAAGAAATGATTTTAAACCAATAGTTCAGCCATAAATAAAAATGTCAGTATTTACTTACCCTCATGTCGTACCAAACACTTTCTTGTTTCCACAGAACACAAAATGAGATTTTTGAAGGCTGTTTCCATGCTTTTTTCCATGTTATTGCAATGAATGAGGACTGAAGTCTTAAAGCTTCAAAATGAAAGTTCAGCAGTGATGTCCAATTTGGGAACAAATCATTCTTGTGAGTCAGATCTTTTCAGTGAGTCAGTTAACCTGATTCACAAAGCCTCATATTATGATTCATTCATGGATCAGATCCACTTCTCAAGTTCAACTCACTGAATCAATGAATCATCAACAAGATTTTCAGTCAATAACTCTTTAAATTATGATCTCAAAGCTTGAAATATAGCACAAAATTAGTAGTTTAGACTAGTTTTATGGTGCTTTTGTGTCTTTTTATGAATCTTTAAAACACCATTCATTGTTATGAAAAGATGGACCAGAACAATCTTCAAAATTTCTCAATTTGTGAGTCATATGAGTTTGAAATGACATGCAGATGAGTAAAACTAATGACAGACTTTTCATTTATAGGTAAACATTGTTATTTTAGTATTACTTACATACAATTGTAGTTTTTGTTAATATTTTGAATTAGCTTTTGTTTGTATATTTTCAGTTTTCATTTTATTTTTGGTAAAAAAAAAAAAAGTAATTTATGTGCTTTTGTCATGTTTATTCGTTTTTGTTTATATATATATATATATATATATATATAACAAATTTAATTTTTACTTATTTTTAAGTTTTAATACTTCCATATTAGTTTTAGTGCTCCATCTTAAATTTAAGTTACCATTCCTAAGTTTTTCATCTTATATTTATATATATTTTTCTTGTTTTTATATTTTATTTCAGCCTTATTTCAGTGAACAAAAATGTTTTTAATAGTTTTAGTCAGCAATAATAACCCTGACTATCCCTTTAAGATGTTATAAGATGCAATTCAATTTAAGTGCCCTTATATAAACGCCACGCTTTACCACTGTCAGGCACAAAATTATTTTTTAACCTTAGCATGTGATTCAGAGATGAACTGTGACCGTACAGGCTAGTTCTCAGGCCGTCATCATGCACACCCATGAAAATGAAGATCTGGTCTTGGTGAGCGCAGTGACAGCGCAGCACTGTGTGAGAGAACTGTCAGATCCACATAGATGTGCTGTCAGACTGCTGCTAGCAGCATGCATCAATACAGCTATTGTGATGGGCTTCCTTAGACTGACAGTAAGAGGGGACATAGGAGCTGTCTCTACTGTTGTTAGGCCTGAATGAACAATACTCTTCATGTATGATGGAAAGAGACTGTGCTGTTGTCTCACACGGCATGTCTCCATCTGTAAATACTCCTAGGTTTGTGCTACTGCTTGGTGGAGTGGAGCAGAAAGGAGAGGTTTGGTGGGGGTTTTGAGGCATGGATTGCTATTATGAATGAGAAATATACTTTGCTTGACCCTATAATTTAATACCATTTTTTTCTTGTGAAGTCCACTTGTAACACTGTCCTGCATCATATTTGCTAAATGAAATCCAATACTTGTTTCTTGCTAATTTTGGGATGCTGATTCCAAAAATAGTAGCTGTTTTGCTGTAGCACTTCATACTTTTCCACAAAATATGTATTGCATTTCGATTTGCATTACTTTCGACAACCATTTGTAAGGTGTTGTTTTAAGTCTTGCTTTTATACTTCAAGCACTAGAAAAATGTTTTGTTCAATTCCTAGCCAGTTCAAATTCACATGTATAGATGATTAAGAAGACACTATTTTATGCCTGATCCTGATTTCAAGATTAGCATTATTAAAAAAAGGGGGGGGGGGTGATTGATTGATTGATAATTCATTCATTCACAGGTTAGGTCTGACATGCCAACAAATAATGTTTGTCCTTTTATTATTATTGTTATTATTATTTAAAACCAGTTTTGAAAAAAGTACTTCTTCTTGTTTTCTACCACAATGTTATTAGGTAAAAAATAAATGTATTGATTTGAGTCAATATTTAAAACATGTTATTGCTAATGTGTCACTAGTGTTACAATCTTTGCTTTACTCATGAAATAAAATAAAATTACACAAAATATAATTTATTTTTATAATTAGTAAGAATAGCATGGTGTTAAATACCTACCATAAAAATTAATTCAGACTTTTGAATACATACTTTGTAAGTCAGAAAATAACTACAATTTGAAAATGAATCTAAATTATTTTCTGTCGTTATTGAAGTTATGCCACAAATGCTGCCAATTGCGCCCTGAGCTGCTACTGAACCCTGAACATTAATTTAAGGTCACGCATGGCTAATGGCATCTCACATCCTCCAGCACTGCTGAATCTCACTGGACTCTAAACCTCATCTCCGCATTCTCTTATGCTGCATTAAAATGCAAACTCCCTGTAGGCCTAAAATCACTTCTCTTTGCTGTTTTATTCCTTTGAAAACAGGCGAAAGTGTCCAGTGACCGTCTGACCCAGTTCTGGTCCAGGGTGGTGTGGTGTCAGCCATATAATTACACCTCAGGGTTACTGCCTCCATCTGGCTGTCGGCGATCAGAGTTAGATTTATAAAAGGCAGTGGAGCAGAGACTTTTACTTTCAAGAAATTCCATCAGACTCCAACCTTACGTGGTGTTTGCTATGGCAGGCATCTAAATTCTTGTTGTTTATTGGGTTAGGAAAGTATTCAGCATAAGTATTCAAATTGTCCTCAGTTTGTGCTACGGACAGGAATGATCCCTAAAATCATGTGGCTTGTGAAGGAAAGGGGATCAAAGTGGTCAGATTTACAATTTTATGTTTAGGAGAGCAATAGTTTTATAAGTGTAGGGCCTAAAAATGGGGTATTCTTAGCTTTAAATATAGTTTCCTCCAGTGTCTCTGTTTTGTGACTGCATTTCAAGATGGCATGTCTTTGTTCTGTTACTAGTGTTGTCTATTGCGTGCCTGTGGCAGCATGTGTCAGAACAGAGGACATGTCCTGATGTAATCCCGTGTAGGGGTCATGTCCTGACACAATAACTCTCCTATTTTTAGGACACGCTCAATATATTCTGCAGTGCACTCAACTGCTGTAGTGCCGTGTTGCTTTGCATTGTTTCCAAGTATTTTTATTCCATTGTTTGTTTGTTTTTAGAATACTACACATAAAATATCCTTTCAACTTTGCAAATATCATTAAAATATGTAAAATATACATTGATATATTCAGTTGTGCACATAAGTTTACATACCCCTTGCAGAATATGCAAAATCATTTGAACAAAATAAGAGGGTTATTTTTTTTATTTAGTACTGTCTTGAATCTATTTCACATAACAGATGTTTATATATACTCCACAAGACAAAATAATAACTGAATTTGTAAAAAAATGACCCCGTTCAAAAGTGTACATACCCTTAAATCTTAATACTGTGTGTCATTTCCTGGATGATCCATGACTGTTTTTCTGTTTTGTGATAGTTGTTCATGAGTCCCTTGTTTGTCCTGAACAGTTCAACTGCCTGCTGTTCTTCAGAAAAATCCTCCAGCTCCTGCACATTCTTTGGTTTTCCAGCATCTTCTGCATATTTGACCGCTTTCCAGCAGTGACTGCATGATTTTGAGATCCATCTTTTCAAACTGAGGACAACTGAGGGACTCGTACATAACAATTGCAAAAGGTCAAAACATTTACTGATGCTCAAGAAGGCAACACGATGCATTAAGCCGGGGGTGTAAACTTTTGGAATTGGATGATCAGGGTAAATTGTCCTTATGTTGTCTTCTGGGAAACATGTATGCATTTATGTAGCTTCTGAAGTGCAGTACTAAATGAAAAAAAATATGATCTTTAATCAAAATAAGAAAAATTGACACATCATCATCCTGTTGCGGCTCTTAATGCATTGTGTTGCCTTCTTGAGCATGAGTAAATGTTTTCACCTTTTGTAATTGTTTTGTATGAGTCCCTCAATTGTCCTCAGTTGGAAAAGATGGATCTCAAAATCATGCAGTCACTGCTGGAAAGCGGTCAAATATGCAGAAGATGCTGGAAAACCAAAAAATATGCAGGAGCTGGAGGACTTTTCTGAAGAACAGCAGGCAGTTGAACTGTTCAGGACAAACAAGGGACTCGTGAACAACTATCACAAAGCATAAAAACAGTCATTTTTCTTATTCAGTTATTATTTTGTCTTGTGGAGTATATATAAACATCCGTTATGTGAAATAGCTTATTCAAGACAGTACTAAATAAAAAATAACATGCAATTATCATGATCCCTCTTATTTTGTGAAAATGATTAACATTTTGCATAGTCTTCAAGGGGTATGTAAACTTATGAGCACAACTGTATACATTGTTTAATTCCATCTGTTTTAAATAGTAAAGTTTACATCTCTTTCCTCAGGTCAGTAAGCTGGAAAGGGATAAGTCTCAGGAGGTCCGTCATGAGCAGCACAAGTCCACTGTGGTGGTGACTGAGTTAAAAGCCAAACTACGTGAGGAGAAACTTCGGGAGCTCCACAGTGTTCGGGAAACACTCCTACGTCAGCACGAATCTGAACTGGTGCGGGTCATTAAGATCAAAGACGGAGAGATCCAGAGACTCCAGGCGCTCGTCAGTGCCCTCCGAGATGGATCCACCGATAAGGTACCATTGGAATGGAAATTAAATAATCCATTTTATGTGTTCTAAATGATCACAATACTCCAAAAATAAAAATATAATTATGAAGATAAAATAAAACCATACATTATGAATATAATATTTATTATTGTAGTTATTATTATTGTGATTAGTGTTGTCAAAAGACCCGGTACTTCGTTACCAAGTCGGTACTAAAAAAAATGAAAATGTTACAGTACCAGGTTTTTTTTAAGTACCGGTGGTACCGAGTACCCGGTCAACCCGGTTCTTGATGCGCTATCCGAAAGGTGCGCAGATGCGCTCTCTTCATAAAAGCACTGAGACGTGGCGACATCAAAAGGAGGAAACACACCAAACTAACAAAATACTTTAAAGACACCCAGATCAAATGAAAAATTTCAAGCAGGTAAGTTTTATTTTAATTTTTAATATTTAGATCAGTGTTTCCCATACATTGATTTATTTGTGGCGGCCCGCCACAATATCAAAACTGACCGCCACAAATAGATTTTCCAAAAGGCTTTGACTTCGCTGAATCAGAGTATGTGAGCGGAGTGGAGCGGCAACAATTTCCCCTCCGCGCTCCAAGCATTCAATAATCACTCTGCTCCAGCTCCGAGTTCACCATTTCCCGCTCCCGCCCCACTCCTCGCGCCACTGATCAGAAACACCACTCCGCCTTTGCTTCGCGGCTAATTTATTTCACTATGCTTGAAAAATCTAAGTTCTGTTCAGAAATTATATTAAACAAAATATAAATGCATAATACAAGAAGAATAGTTTTAACATGGTTTATTGGAATACTACAATTAGCCCAAGTCCATATTAAATGACTGCTTAACTCACTTAGCTTACTTGTCTGTGCAACGTCTCTACTATGGTGAAGCTGAGGGTAGTTACTTCAGAAACAGAAAGAATATGCTGTGACTTTTCCGTTTTTAAGCTGATAAATCACAGGACAGCGTTGACCAAATTTTCTTCATTCCTGAATGTATGTGCGCGATCTGTACGTTATGTGCGAGCTTGTGTGTTCTGTCTGTGTGTAGCAATGTAGCAGCACATTAGTTTAGAGCGGAGATTAACAAACTGTACAATTTACAACACGCTTTAACCTCCTGCACTCGTCCATCGCCATTTTAACCTTCATATGTGATCCACAAATCTGTCAAGCTAACTAATTATGTTTAATGCGCGAGTTGGCATAATTTGTCCTCGTGACGGGGCGGTAGCAGAGCGTTCTTGGAGCAAGTGAAAACCTCAACACTCCGACTTTCAAAAAATCCACTCCTGGCTCCAGGAAAAATCATGCCACTCCACTCCTCGCTCCGCCCCCACTCCGCTCCGCTCACATACTCTGCGCTGAATAAACATGAGCACTGCACGTGTCAAAGTCGAAACCCGGTGCAGGTGTTTTTATATCACTGTATTTCTGAAGGAAACCGACTGTCTTCAGAGAATTATGGATGTCATTTTCATTTCATCTTGCATGTAATGTCTGATAAAGCAGCGTTTGTGAGCGGAGCGCTGCTTTGTGTATAGTCCTTACTGGGGAAACCTCGATCTCTCCTGCTTTACAAGCGCCTCCTGCTGGCAGAGAATGAATTTGCATATATATGCCGCCACAAATAGAGTGTAAGTCTGTGGGAAACACAGCTTCTGTTATGAATATTATTCATATATGTACGATCAAGTATGAAGGAGCATTTTAGTTATTTTTACTGTCATCATTCAAATCTGCAAAAAGTTCCGCTATCTCTCCTGCTTTACAAGCGCCTCCTGCTGGCAGAGAATGAATTTGCATATATATGCCGCCACAAATAGAGTGTAAGTCTGTGGGAAACACAGCTTCTGTTATGAATATTATTCAATATTTTAATTTGAATGTCGGATTGAAATGAACGCTGTTATTAGAATAGTTCATCGTTAGCATAAGCGCGGCTAACGCTAATATAATGAGCATTAGAATTAAGTTTCTTTAGGCCTGTTTAATGCTCCTATAACTTTTATTAGGGTAAAAAAAACATTGATGATATTTACTATTTTTATACACCAGAGGCTTTTAAATGAATTGTGAATCTAAAATATGTGTGTTAGAGAATGTACAAATGGTTAACATCGTTTGTGTCATATCAGTAAGAAAAGCAGTTCTGGGCTTTTTTTTTAAGCTAACTTAGTTGTTATTCTTGGCTTTCAAAAGCCCTTTAAAATTAAATATGTACACAGTTTGAATTAAATGAAAGTATAGTCAAATTTTTTAATTAGCATGTTTTTGTGTTTTGCTTTGGTACCGAAATTGGTACCGAGAACCGTGGATTTTCACTGGAATTGGTACCGAATACTGAAATTTTGTACCGTGACAACACTAATTGTTATTGTATAATAATTACACAATTTGGTCACACCAATTATTGAACATAATTCTCTGATAAATATGTTGTCTCTGCCGCCACAGGTGAAGTCTGCACTGATGGCGGAGGCGCGAGAGGAGTGCAGGAGGAGTTTCGAAGGGGAGCGCATGCGACTGCTGCAGGAGATCTCCGAGCTCAAGGCGGTGAAAAGGCAGATGGAGGAGGCGTTAAACGTGGCTGTGCAAGCCGACAAGATCAAAGCCGCCGAGATCCGCAGCGTCTACCATCTCCACCAGGAGGAAATCAACCGCATCAAGAGAGAGTGTGAAAGAGAGATCCGCAGACTGGTGCGTAATACAGTTTAGAACATGCACTATTAATCAGTGACTTCATCTGTCAGTACATCGGTCTAAATAAATACCCTTAGCTCTATATATATATATATATATATATATATATATATATATATATATTCATTCATTCATTCGTTCATTCGTTCGTGGCAGCTGATAATTAAAGCTGCTCAGGTTGAACAGAACACTTACCCCAGGTTTCTCCATAGGGACTGTCTGTTCCATTAATGTGCTGAATGAAAATCTTTTGTTAACTTGCAAAGCTTCACGCGGTTTACACAGGAAAACCTCACTCATGGGTGTTGCCATGATGGAAACATTTCTGGAAACTTTCCTCTTAGTCAGTCATTTAATTTGATGAATGGAATTATTCATTTTCATTTATTTAGCAATAATTCACATAATTACAACACACTTCTGTAAGAATTCAAATTTCTGTACAAGTTTCATTCAAATTCAAATCAGTTGTTTGAAGTCCCGCCCCTTGCTTGTTAAGCCCCACCCACTTTGACTTTTTTTTCCTCTCACTTAGACCAGCTTTATAAACCATCCCATTGGAATAAACTACAGAGTTTTAATGCAATTCATAATTTTCAGTCAAATATGTTTATAAAGTGTTTGGATATTATTCTTGTGTAGGCTGGAATGAATTGTGACACTGCGACACATTTGATCTTTTTTCTTTAAATAAATAGTTAAATTATGCAGTAAATTGATTTAAAAACAGCAGACACTGCAAATCTGAATCAAACAAACACAATGTATTTACCTTGGAGCAAATGTGGGTGTTTTTACTTATGTTGAAACTGAGTATAATTCCCTGCCATGCACTGTGTATTATTTAAAAAAATAAAAGTTTATACAAGTGGGGGAAAAAATATTGTTTATATTCTCTTTGGGGAAAATTGTCTGGGTACAAGTGCCCTAGTACTGTATCTTTGGATAATTTCTGTAAAAATCCATTCGAAAAATGATCTGAAAACACAAGATTTCCATAGAACGGCAACAGTTGCTAAGGTAGTATTGGCTAGTAATGTTTCTAAGGCGGTGCTTAAAGTAAAGACTTTCTCTCCAAATACCCCACTAAAGCTTCAAGGTTTTATATCTGTTGGTTCACATTTTATTTTTAGTCGTATGCGTGTGTATCTCAAAATGGCAGTGTGTGTGTGTGTGTCCTCGTGTACTACACTTAAAGTGAAGCTGCTTTCTTCCCTTCAGAGCCTCTCTTGTTCTGGGCGTTTTGCCATCCGTTTTTTTCCTGGAGTATGAACATCTCTGTATCTCTGCAGTCAGTGGCCGCTGATATCGATCGCTCTTGTGTGGCTGAGCGTTGACTCTATATCTCTTCAGGACTAAATGCAAGAAATACTTCAGGGTTGAGGCAGGACTCTGTATGATATGTATAGTAGAGGAGCAGATTGATGGAAAAGATGCAGGACGTTTCACTATTTTCTGAGAAGTATATATATTTAGGGCTGTGTATATGGTAGATATATTTGCGTGGCTATTAGTAAGTTTATGTTTTTACATGACAGAGCAACAAAACATTGAGTAATGCTTTTGTACATCTTTTGTTATAAATAACCTGATGTTTTGGTTTTCAAGAAAATAATCAAATTAAAAGAAACCATTTAAGTTACTGGAAAATTGTGCAAATTATTATTTTTTTAAATATATATTTTTAACATTTTAAAAAATCTGTCTGTCTGTTAGTATATAGTGCCATATGAAAAAAAAGTTATGTTTTTTTTATTATTATTATTAGGTATGGTACTATTGCAGCTACATTATAAATTAATATATTGTTGTTAGTTCCATTTAAATAAATGGAAAAGTATGCAACTTATTATCATTATTTATTTTCATTTAAATTTAAAATATTATATATATATATATATAT